CCACCGGTTGGCCCTGTAGCCTCGCCCCCGCCGGCACCGGCCGGCCGTAGCGCGGTCACCATGCTGCCGCCCGCACCCTCCAGCCTCGGACTGCTGCTGCTGTTGCTCCTGTGTCCGGCGCACGTCGGCGGGCTGTGGTGGTGAGTGCTGCGTCGGGCTGTCGCAGCGCAGCCCTGGACACTCGAGGGCGGGGACCTCGGGACCACGGCGGGGCTCGAGCCACGTTCCGCTGCTTCTGGGCTCTAAATGCGCGCAGGACTCCGCCGCACCGCGGCTGCTGAGGTGCGGGGGCGTGCGTGCCCTCTGCAGCCTGCCTCTGCCAGGGACACTTGTGACTGCCATTTAGACGTTAGCAACCCCCGCACACTGTAGTGCATTTCCTCCTGCCGGGTCCTGTCCCTCGACTCCCCACCCCAGGCCCCTCCAGGCTATGCGCTCTGGGAGGAACGGGTGGTTAGGGAAAAGCTAAGGAGAAAACCGGCGGTGGTGGGGGGACCCGTAGTCAGAGAGAGGAGAAAAGACTGTTAGAAGGGCCTTGAATTTTGGGTACAGGGACAGTATTTGGTGGAAAGGAACTGGATGAGAAACCACAGGCGGGGAGAATCAAACAGTTGCCTCTTCCCGACCCCACTTTATTCCCTAACTTTTCTCCGAGTCTCTTCGGAGTGGGCGTGAGGGGCGGGGAAAGCGAGCGTTCAAGGGAAACTGAGTCAGGGCCCTGGTTTCTCTACTCCCTGAACCAAAAAAGGAGGAAAGGCAGTAAAAGGACTCAGGTGGCCATCCTTTCTAGACGTGGGGGTTAGGGGTGGAAAAAATGTGCGGCTCGGGAGGTCCTGGGAACCCGGGAGGGTCCTGGTGGGAGGGCGGGAGGCCTGGCCAGGCAAAAGATGGGGACGACTTAACAGACCTGGCCTCTGGAACTGGCCTAGCGAGAGCAGACGTCTAGGAAGCAGAAGGCACAGAAATTTTAAATCTTGGGGGTTGGGGCAGAGACTGGGAAGTTGGGTGTCGGGTAGGGACTGCTCAGAAATCCGGATCCCGGGGATTTTTTTCCCTTCCTAATCTCCCGGACAGCAAAGACCCGCCCGGAATAGCTCGGGGTTCAGAGGGGAGGGACTTGGACAATACCGCTGATGCACCAGCCAATCCCAAGAAGTTAGGGTTGTGCACATTTGCATATGGCCACGTCATTGGCTGGATTCTCCACCCTCCACTCCTCCCCCACCTCCGGATTTGGAAGGAGGGGTGGGGTGCAGATCCCTCTGTTTCAGGGAGATAGAGAGCAGGGTGCCCACACAGGGCGAGGCTGGCCACACTCCCTCTCCTGTGAAGCCAGGAGAGATGTCCCTGGTAGGTGTCAGTGAGGGGGCAAATCGAGGGCGACCTAGGCCTCAGCTAGGGAATATTGTTCTTGGATCCTGCTTTGGCAAAACGCGGTAGCAGCTTTGAAATAGACCTGAGATGGATTCTGTACTTTTTGTTAAATCCGTGACCTTGGACAAGTCACTTCTCCTGGCCCCCACAATGCCTCAACTACAAGATAGGGAAATAGTCCTCCTACCTGGCAAGCTGGACTAGGAGTAGGCAGGGTGACCTATGAAATGATAGGGCATTTGGGGATTCTCAGTAAATGTAAATCTGTTCCTTCTCACCCATGCATTCTCCTGAGGAGAGTCCTCCTGGGTGAAAGGGAAATTAATTTAATTTTAAAATCTAGGGTCCCAAGCAAAACTTTGTATGGGGATCTCTCTCCTGTTCTCTAAACACACCTTTACTGACTTTGCTCTCCCTCAAGGTATGGGGGTAGGGGTCTCTCCCTGATGGGTTCCGCCTTTCCTCTCCTTCCTTTCATTCAGGTTGTTTTCATATTTCCAGTTAAAATACTCCTCCCTTGGGCCCTCACCGTAGCACATGGGTTAGGACGCAGCACTGCAAGCTGGCCTCAGCCACTTCGTGGAGCTTCGGAGGTGACTCACACTGCACAGCAGACCTCTCCTGTCTCCCCACTGCTCCCCTCAGCAGTGTACCTCGTCAATCTGCCTGTGGTGCTCCCCACTCTCTCTGGTGAATCCTCTTACCACCCCCTGCACCTGTGGCCTATACCCCAGTTCTGTATGCATAAACAAATAAATCTTTTTTTAAAAAACTAAAAATACTCTTCTCTTGTTGAGGCTGTAGCTCTGCCTTCCCTCCTTTGTCTTCTCTGTGTTCCCACAGCACAGTAACTTCATTTAACTGATAGCCATCTCCTCTTGGGTCTCTTCTCTGCTCCTGGAAGGCAGAGCTGGTCTTTAGGGCCCTGAAGACTGAATGTGCTGGGGACAGTTGTGTAGAATGTTGCTGAATTGGTTGATTATGGGGTTTGTATCCTTGGGGGAAGGGGGTCCCTGGATGCAGGAGGGGCAGTTGGGTGGGAGCCAAGCCTGGTCCCTTGGAGACTGACCCTGAAGCGGGGAACAGGGGAGGAGGGGTGGAGGGCAGGTGTGGGAGAACACAGAGGCCTTCCTTCACTGCCACAGCTGCAGGGTGAGCAGGGTGAAGAGTGAGGGCTGGGTGATAAGGTGTACAGTGACTGCCTCACCCGGATGCTTTGAGAGAACCTGCCTCTCCCACCTGCCTCGGCTACCCCTCTCTCTATCTGTTTCTGACACTTCGTTCCTTTAGTCTGAGCCCAGATTCCCTGAGTTTTTTTTTTTTTTTTACTCTGCTTATATTTCTGTCTCCACCCACCTCAAGATCACTTTGGGCTGGTGGCTCAGACTCAGCATCCCAGGTGGCCTGAGGTCCCTGCCACTCCTACACACACACACACCAGCTTCCTTTCAGCTAGGACCTTTTTGGGGCCAGGCGCTTCCACATTGTTCTCTGATACCTTGTACCTGCTTGCTGATCTTCTGCTCCCTGTTCTTCAAGAATGCTGGCCAGGCCAGTGCTCCAGTGGTGGATGGGAAAGGAGTTAGACCTGCAGAAGCATACTGTCATCTCCTCTGACATTCCAGCAGCAGTCAGGCTGGGAGCAGAGAGGACCCAGGGACTCTGAGAACTGTCCTGGTTAGGAAAGGAGGTATCTGGAGGGCAGAGAACTGTCCTGGTTAGGAAAGGAGGTATCTGGAGGGCAGAGGCCCAGGCCCTGGAATAGGCTCAGGCTCCAGGTTCCAAACAAGTTTCCCTTCCACCTTCTCCCTCCGCCTTCTCCCACCATGCTATGCAAGCTTTCTAAACTCTGCCTCCAGCCTCTCTGTCTGTCTCTCCCCCATCTGTAATCATATCTTTGTGAATCACAGAATCCCAGATTCCAGGACATTGGCCAGGCTCTCTTGAGGTCATCGTGTCCAGCCCGTAGCCTCCAGGCCAATCAGCCTATGCTCTGGCCCTGACAGAGCTGATCCTGAGAGTGAGAAAGAGAGGGAGAGGCTATAGGTCCCTGGTCCCCACCTCCTACCCTCCCACTCTGCTCCCACCCCCCGGAGCTCCCCCAGCAAGTTCTTCTCAATGTCTGACCCATCGTTATTTATACCTTCAGCCAGTAGATGTAGAAAATAGCTCAGTCTCACAGAGGGCCAAAGCAGTCTCCCTTTTCTCTCTTCCTCTGTGCTCTTTCTGTTTCATATGTGTTATGAAAGAAACTAACCCTTCCCTTGCTCCAGTAGGAAAATCATCACTCAGTCTCACTCTCTTCCCCCATCTCAGCTTGTTGTTTGACAGTCCCCCCCACCCCACCCCAGACCTAGGACAGCTTCACGTGTGGTTGCAGAGGGGAGACAGGGTCCATATTTCTTCCTAACACTCCAGGGTTCCAGCTGTGACCCCCAATCCAGGCTGGGGCTGGCCATCCTTTCCCATCTTAGCTTTATCTAGGGTCCCTGACCCTTCATGGACAGCCCTACTGCTGGTTCCTGACAAGCTCAGGGTGGGGTGAGGTGGCCATCTAGTGTCCCCCTGCAAGCCCCCTGCCTTGGCAGCTTCTCCTGGAGGGGAACAATGGAACTGGGAGCAGCACATGGCAGGGGTGGAAGGAGGCTGAGCTGAGCTGAGCCGCGAGCCCACCACAGTCCTGGCACTGGCACATTTCCCTGCAGCCCCTCCTGCCCTGTTCTCACTGGAAGCTAGGAGGTGGTGGGGGGAGATCTGTGGGAGGTTTGATCACCAGGGCCCAGCAAGGGGGATTCCAGAATGTGTACTTCGATGGAGAAATGCAGCTGTGGAAGGGATGAGGGGAGGGCGGGGCAGCCAGCCAGGCCTCCTCAGGCTGGTAGCAGGCACCCAGCCAGGCAGAACAGGAGGTGCTCAGGGACACAGAAGCCTGCCCCTAGGGGCTGGGGAAGAGTGCCCTCTGCCTGTACCCTCCTGCCTGCCTGGGGCAGGACCCTGGGTGCTTCCCAGGACTCCCTGAGGAGGAACTCAGGGAGGGAAAGGTCAGGAAAGACTCTTCTGCTTTCTACCTGGCGCCTTGGTCTGGGTCCTCCAACGCTGAGCCCTCCATCTGGAAATTAGATCTGGAAAGGACTAAAGATCATCTGGTTCAACCTTCTCATTTACAGTGACAAGTCCAGCAAAATCCAGGGACAGGAGGTGACACTCGCCCAAGGCCACTCAGAACATAGGTAGCTGAAGGCTCAGGTCTGGGAGTCCATTCCCTGAGAGCACCTGTCCTTGTGTGCAGTCAGGGGTGGGGTCCCGGGCCAGCCACAGGCCCCTGCTGCCCTCCCAGGCCCAGGCCTCACAAGGCTGCTCCCACCTCCGTATGGGAGAGCAGAAGGCACAGACCCTCTGGCAGGAGCTCCCTGAAGGACCACTGTGTCCATTCCTAGCCTCCCTCAGCCCTGACCAGTAGGAGGCACTCTTGTGAGATGAAGTCCCTCAGGTAAGGGAAAGCCCCTGACTTCCCTAGAGCTATGAGAAGGTGGAAGGAGCCCTGTCCTGGATGGGGCGGAGGGGGACCAAGTTGGGCCGGGTGGGGGAGGGGCAGAATGGGTGGCTGGTGGGTGGTGGAGAGGCAGGGGTTAATGGAGCTGGGGCATCACTGACTTTGATGTGGTGGTTGGGGTGGGGGTAGGGACTGGGGGAGGGGGAGCAGTAATTACCGAGTTAGACAGAGCAGGACAGGACAGGCGGGCGGGCACAGGCCCGGGCCCAGCCGCCTCAGCAGCCGTCAGGCAACATTTTTCTGCCCCTTCTCCACCACCCACCTCCCCCACCCCTGTGCAGCCCCCACCCACAGCCCCAGGGCTCAGGGCTCCCTCTGCTGGCTCCCGGGAGGTAGGGGGTCAGACGCGGGACCCTGGGGTGAGTGTCAGGGAGGGCTGGCTGTGAGACTCTCCCTAGGAGACTGGCATCCAGAGCCTGTGATCCTCTGGATCCAGCATGTTTGCTGGAGAAAGGGAGAGGTCCTGGAGGGACCTGGTGTTCCAGGGGCAAGGCTGATATAGGGGGAGGAGACACTGGGTTCCAGGCTGAGAAGTCAGGGCACAGAGGGGGCAAAGTGTTTTCAGGAGGCCGCAATCTCTGCCTGTCCTGCAAGATTCTCCCTGCACTGTGCAGACCCAAGGTACAGTCCCAAGGGTTGAATGAGTAGACAGACACTTACCGGGGCTCACTCTCTGACAGGCTCCTCTGCAGGGGCCCCAGGTATCTTGATTTGTTTTCATGTTATGGCTCAGGGATTGAGGCTCAGGGGGTTCAGTCTCCTCAGCCAATCAGCAAACACTATGTACCCACTCCGCACACTGGACACTTGTCAACCTCAGGAACACACACTTGGCAGAGCCCGGACCCAAACCCAAGCCCCGTGGCAACCCGAAGCCTGTGTGGGTCTGCTAATGATGTTAAGCTTTCACGAGAGATCTTTGTCTTTATGAGTTTTCTATAGAATGGCAGAGATAAGACGAGAAAACATGATACAATCATTATGTGGATAACAAGTAACCTGGGATGAGGTGGGGAGTCGGCGAGGGTTGGCGCCCAGGACGGCTCCTCAGGGCAAGGGGGAGCTGAAGTGCATTTGGCAAGATGCCAAGTAGATTTGGAGAGTTTAGGGGTGGCTCCAAAACCAGAAATTCAGCAGTGGTATCTGGGATGGATGCAGACAGCCAGAGCCCGGGAGCAAGGTGCCGGTAGTGTGAAGGAGGCAGTGTGTGAGGCCTGCTGACCTCTCTGACCTGTTTCCCCCAGCCTCCTTGGTTTTAAAATATTCACCTAAAGTCCTTGCTTTGGGGATCCTTCCCCTGACTGTCCAGGCCAGTCATGTCCCTTCTCATTGCTCATCTGTATAATGGGGTGAGGTGAATAAGATGGTCCAGGGCATTCTCTTTAGCCCTCTGAACTCAGGGACAGAAAGTTAGGTTTGGCTCCAGGGCTTGGATCCTCAGGTGTTGCTAGAAGGCGCTTCCTGGCCCCGATGCCTCCTCAGTCGGCTATCGATTTCCCCAACCAGAGCCCCAGGGAGGGTCTAGGTGCCAGGCCCAGGCAGTTAGAGCGGCCAGGTTTGTCTGCACACAGATTCCCTTGAGGGCTAGCCTTCCTCAGTTTTCCTGTGCCCAGGAATGGTATTTGATTAGGAGCACAGAGCCGACATATTACGTATTCTCTACCAGCACTGTGCTCCGGCAACACCCCCTACCAAAAGCAAACAGGCAGATGCTCCCCAAGATACACGTCCTCTCTGGGCTGATAGATTGCCAATGCTGCCTTAGAGGCCCAAGAGCAGAGTTCACTCCCTAAAGAAGCAGAAGGAAAGACAGGAAGGTGGACAAGGGACTTATTTCCCCTCGTGGGAGCCCCCACGTGGCGCCAGCAGTTAGAGGACTGTGAGCTTCTTGTGCTGACGCCTTGTTTTTCTGAAGCCCAGAGGAGAATCTGACTTAGCAGAGCCGCTCACCCCACCGAGGGAGCGAGGGAGCGAGTGCTGACAGAGACCAGGGTACAGAATCGAGGCTTGGTCCAATGACTCCCTGCCCCCACTCCCCTTCTAGAGTTTTCTTTCCTGGGACTTGAGGATGGGAGCCAGGACAGGAGGGCAGGGAGCAAGCTGGTCCCTTGGGATCCTGGCTGTTACTATTGCCCATCCTTCCTTCTGATCAGTCTGTAAACAAGGCTAGTTCCCAGGCAGTAAGCCAGCTGGGGGAGCCAGATTCCAACCAGGAACTGGCTCTGGGGCAGCCCCTCAACCCTGTGGATGACCAGCCACACTTCCTGAGGGGCCTGCCCCTTCATGCTCTCCCAGCCCTCTCCTATCTCTAGCCCCTGGGAAGCAGACAATGTCAAGGGGCTTTGCCTTTCTTCTGCACACTCCACCTCTCCTGCTTTCTGAGGGTAGCAGGAGGAAGAGGCGAGGGGTGGGGGCAGAATGACCTTGGGAAGATAAGACAGTCAACCTTGGGAAAGTAGGGAGTTAGCAGAGGGCAGGACTGGGGAGGAGGAACTGGGAAACTTAGTGCTTGCGAAGGGGTGGGGAGATGAGTTTGCAGGTCCCACAGTCCCAGGTGGGGCCAGGTGTGCAGGTGGCAGGAGAGGAGCTGGACAGCTGGACAGCTGTGTGCTTCCCTGCCTTGGTATTGATGGCGGAAATAAAATGTTTGAGGAAGCTAATTAGTAGTCATGAAATTACATGTGGTAAGGAGAGGTCTGGGCTCCAGAGAGGGCTTTCTCCTTAGATCATGCCATTCATCATTCCAAAACATGCATTTGACGGTGTTAATTCTAATACCATGTATTAAATGGTCTTTATCGTAATATTAAAATCATTGCTCATAAAATGCAAACTTTCACAGCAACATTAGGGGGAGTATGGATTAAACACCTAAAACTCTGCTGCAAAGACAAAAGGAAACTGCAGTGCTCTCTGTCCACGGTGTTTTGTGGTCTTACTTGCTGACCTTGAACAAGCATGCTGGAAATGGCCTCTTTTTGTAATAGGGTAGGACAGGTGGATAGGGAGGCGAGGGAGACAGTTAAAAAGAAAAAGACAGAGAGAGAAAGACAGAGGGGAGAGGGCACACTGGCCAACTCTGGGGGCCCCTGGGAGCCAGAGTGGCTGCCTGCCAGGTCTGCTCCCCTGTGCTCCAGCCAGCCCTTCTCTAGGGCGACAGAAGGCTGGGGCCCGACCTCCCAGATGCAATGCAGTGATGAGCAGCTCCTGAGTAGGGAGGAAGAAGGACTGGGCTATCTCTCTACTGAGAAGAGAGATGAGCCTACCTGCCTGGAGAGGGAGGGTGCTGGGCCGCTGTGTGTGGAGCACCCCTTCACGCGTCTCACTCTCTACCTGAAGAGCCAAGCCCCTTTTGCTGTTCTGTAAGCCCATTCCATCTCACGGTGTGGAGCCAGAACATGCCTGAGCAGCCTGTCCTGTGGCCCACACGGTGACAGGGGGCAGATGTGCACTAAATCGAAACTGAGAAGTAGGCCACCTTGGCCTGCAGTACCACCTGTCACCTTCCCCATGACATTCCCTGTTGCCACTTCTTCCCTTCCACTTTTCTGCCCTCTGGTGAGGGGGCTTTGAGTGGTCTCGAATGACCCTCAGCTCCCAAGTGTTCTACTCACTCACTCCTACAAGACAGGGATTTCAGCTGAGCTGATTAAGGGGGTTCCACTTAGGCGTGACTCTCTCGCTGAATAAACCTTCAGGGATCTGGTGTGTGGAAACCAAATGGTGGGTGAAGGCTGGGAAGGGGGGTTTCTGAAAGCATGAGAAGAACCCCAGAAAGTCTTAATCACCAAGCTGAACAGTGTCTCTGTCCCCCAAACCTAGGGCTGGGCTTGCTACCATCCTGCCCTGGAAAGGCCAGAGTCGGGAACAGAAGGGTCACTGTCACCTACTTCACAGTGACGCTTCAGAGACTCAGTCCCTAATCCTTCCTCCTGCTCCAACTTGGGGAAACAGAAGCCAGCAGGGTGGAAGGGGCCATCTCAGAGATCAGCGCCACCTTCCCATTGACAGAAGGAGAAACGTGGGTTGGGGACGGGGTATGAGCGTTCGGCGGCTCTTCCCCAGCTACTCTAACACCCAGTGACTTTCTAGCCTCTGGTTGTTCAGCTGACACACATTTGGCCTGTGGTCCCTGAAGACCAGATCCTTTTCTGTTCCTACTTTTTTCTTGGGTATCCACTAATAATCCCTTTTTGTTGGCAGTGTTCTTGATTTTCCTTCTGTTCATTTCTTCCTGTGTCCCTTTTGGGCCAGGCCTGTGGAATTTTAACCATGGCCTACCTGTGACAGCCGCCCTCGCCTTGAGTTAAACTCCACAAGGATAAGGTGGAAACCTTGTTCAGTAGCAATTTCAGGTTAGCACCTAGTTAAGAGGGAACACAGACATGGAAAGGTAAAGAAACTGACAGACCAATTTCTTTGTTTTTAAAAAAGATTTACTGATTGATACATACAGAACTGGGGTACAGGCCAGAGGTGCAGGGGCAGTGAGAGATTGCACCAGAGACAGAGCGGGAGCAGGACAGGCAGATAGATGAAGCACACTGCTGAGGGGAGCAGCGGGCGGGTCAGGAGAGGTCTGCTGTGCCATGTGGGTCAGCTCCGGGGCCGGGGATCCAACTGTCCCTGAAGTGGTTGCAGTTTGCTTGCAGTGCTGCGTCCTAACCTGTTGTACCACCAGGGAGGGCCAGCCTTATAGACTGAAATTAGTCTAGGTTGGAGGTGAGGTGGGAGAAGAGGCAAGTCCCAGCTCCTGGCTGTGGGCCTCATGGGGTGGTTTCCCCCTCCTCTCCCTCAAAGCCCTTTAAGTCACACCCCTGACCTGCTGTTCCTTCCTTCCCAGGGCTGTGGGCAGCCCCTTGGTCATGGACCCAACCAGCATCTGCAGGAAGGCCCGGCGGCTGGCGGGGCGGCAGGCTGAGCTATGCCAGGCTGAACCGGAAGTGGTGGCTGAGCTAGCCCGGGGCGCCAGACTGGGGGTTCGAGAGTGCCAGTTCCAGTTCCGATTCCGTCGATGGAACTGTTCCAGCCACAGCAAGGCTTTTGGGCGCATCCTGCAACAGGGTCAGTTAGGGAAGGGACCCCAAGGGGTCTGCTTTCCTTCTTTGGGGGACCAAAAGGGGGGGTGGTTTGGGGAGGCCACCTCAGTCCCACTTCCCCCACTGTCCTGACCCAGTTGCCCGTCCCAGCCCCACACCACACCACCACATCCCAGGACCCAGCTTTGGGCCTGTTGCTGACAGCCCCTCCCTGCACCTGCAGACATCCGGGAGACAGCCTTCGTGTTTGCCATCACGGCCGCGGGCGCCAGCCACGCTGTCACGCAGGCCTGCTCCATGGGCGAGTTGTTGCAATGTGGCTGCCAGGCGCCCCGCGGGCGTGCCCCGCCTCGACCCCCAGGCCTGCCAGGCACGCCTGGGCCCCCGGGCCTCACCAGTACCTCAGATGGCAGCGCCGCATGGGAGTGGGGAGGCTGTGGTGACGACGTGGACTTCGGGGACGAGAAGTCTAGACTCTTTATGGACGCTCGGCACAAGCGGGGACGCGGAGACATCCGGGCTTTGGTGCAGCTGCATAACAACGAGGCTGGCCGGCTGGTGAGCACAGACAGAAATGTGTGCGCGCGTGTGCAAATGTGTGAGTGTGCTGCTGTGGGAGTGGGGTGTGTGTGCGGTGCATCGCGGAAGGGTGAGGTAGTGGCGGTCTGAGTGAGGTGTGTATGTGCACAAGTTTGCTAATGTGTGTGGGATCTGGCGGGCAGATGGAGGCACTGGGGACTACTGAGAGGGCGAGGGTGGGCATGTGAGGTGAGGTGGCCGGCCTAGACCAGGGCATCACCGGGCGTGGAGGAGGGGGCTGGGACGGCCTGGAGCTGGGTGGTATGTACACAGGGCAGGGTGGGGACAGGACAACTAGGCAATGGCACTCAGGGCCCTCAGGGCCCCAAGGCGGGGAGGGCACACCCTGGCCCAGCTCAGGTGGCACAAAGCTTGGTGTCAGCAGAGGTATGGCTGCCAGGGCTGGGCAGAGAGGGGATGCAAAGTCTGGGCATGAAAGAAAGGATGGAAGCTGGGGTAAGGCTTGGGGTCTGGAAGAAGGAGATCCTGGAGAAGTGCAGGAGGTCTGGGAACGGGCTAGAGCACACCCGTGGGTGGAGGTGGGAGGGGCAGACTAGGCAGGAAAGCAAGGACTGTACTGGGCACCTGCCCACTGCCTGCCCCACAATCCCAGACCCGGCCCTGTCTAGAATGCTGGCAGCCTCCTCGTGCCTTCTGCAATGAGGAGGGCCCCAGGAGCTCCCCCCTAGGAGGGTCAGATGAGTCCAGGGTGGGGGAGAGGGGCCCCCAGTGGGTCTGGGAGGAGCACACACAAGTCGGTTGATCAGGTTTGCCCGAACTTTGGCTTTGGGAGACAAACTTCCTGGCTCATCTGATCCCATAAATCTCTAGTGGGGCTGTGATGCTCAGACCCCAGTTCCGGACACAAATAATGGGCAGGATTCCTAACTACCCGTCTCTGTGCATTCACAGTGGGCCCTTCAGCACCCTATGCCGTAGTTCTGGGGTGCTCTAGGGACACACGCACACACACACACACACACACAGTGCCTTCTAGGGTTCAGACTGGAGGTATGGGGCTGGGAATTTGGGGAGCCCACAGAGAAATGCCTGCATAGGCCACATACTTGTCAGAGAGGGCTGGGGAGACTCCCAAGCCCTTTCTGGGTCTCTGTTCTGCTCCGCTTGAGGCTTCCCGGGGCAGAGATGAGGGGACTGGGCTGGAAGAAAGCAGGGCTTTGCAGAGCTGCCTCCGCCTCTCCGCCCCCCCAACCCCACCTCCGGGGAGCCGCTCCACCCTGTTCCTTCTGCCCCCTCACCCTAGCTTTGGATTCTGGACTCTGCATTATATTTTGGCCCCCACTTCCCTTCCTCCTTTTCTTCTCTGGGCTCTGTTGCTCTATTGACTTCCTGCTCCCCGGCTTGTCCTCTCCTTTTCTTGGGGAGCGCGGGTGCTGGGGCGGGTCGGAGAAGGTTCTGCTTTCTTCTCTTCCATCGCCCTTTTCCCGGATCCCCCATCTGTCCCCATCTGCCCGCTCCTCTGCACCCCGCAGGCCGTCCGGAGTCACACCCGCACCGAGTGCAAGTGCCATGGGCTGTCCGGCTCCTGCGCCTTGCGTACCTGCTGGCAGAAGTTGCCCCCGTTCCGTGAAGTGGGCGCGCGGCTGCTCGAGCGCTTTCACGGCGCCTCGCGTGTCATGGGCACCAACGACGGCAAGGCTCTGCTGCCCGCGGTGCGCACCCTCAAGCCGCCCGGCCGCGCAGACTTACTCTACGCCGCCGACTCGCCTGACTTCTGCGCCCCCAACCGGCGCACGGGTTCGCCTGGCACGCGCGGTCGCGCCTGCAACAGCAGCGCCCCGGACCTGAGCGGCTGCGACCTGCTGTGCTGCGGCCGCGGGCACCGCCAGGAGAGCGTGCAGCTGGAGGAGAACTGCCTGTGCCGTTTCCACTGGTGCTGCGTCGTGCAGTGCCACCGCTGCCGAGTGCGCAAGGAGCTCAGCCTCTGCCTCTGACCGCTGCTCGCCAAACAGCGCGCAGCGCCTCTTGGGCCCTTGCGGAACCTCTGTGATCCAGCAGGGGGCGCTATCCCGGGCCCAGCTTCCCGCGGCGAAAGCCAGAGACGCAAGCCCACCCTGGAAGGCTCAGGGCACCAGAGGCACCCCCCCTGAGAGGCACTTTGGGGACTTGTAGGGGAGACTACACAGCCTCCTGGTCTCTCCTTCGCTCCCAGATGCCCAGATGGAAACCAAAGAGTCAGTCTCTAGGCCTCTGGTTGTTGGGCTCCTCAGAACTGCTGGCCATGAGGTTCGTGGGTGAGTTTAGTATCAATAAAGATATTTAAACCCATAGGACTGAGCCCACAGTTTGGGAGAGGGGCTGTCTCCTGCAGGCTGCCGGGGGGCCTCATGTGGACAGAGTATAAAAAATGAAGTGGTTTCTGTAGAAATATCATTTTGGGCGTATTGCCCTGTGTCCTTATCTGCTCTCCCCTCCTGGCTTCTCGTGGCCACTGTGGTGAGGAGCCTAATCGCTCCCTTCTCATTGACTGTTGTTGCACATCTAGGGCCTGGGTCTATGAAATGGGAAAGGACTCCAAGCCCCTCTTTAAAGGAGTGTGGCCCAGAGGGTCTTGAACAAAAGGCCAGAGCCCCTGCTGGTTTATTCAGCCCTCACTTAGCCCTTGGCTCAGGGAGCTTGCCTTGGTTTCTGTGACTCTGGGGAATTAGAGGGTAGACTTTTAAGGCCACCCAGGCCCATAAAATGGAAGCACTATATAAAGTAGAATACGATGAGGAAATACGTCTTTAGTAACATCAGACCTAGCCACCACCACTCCCATTAATGTGGCAAAGATTGCCCAGAACAGCGTTTCTAATCAGTCAGTGGGCCAGTTGAAGCAAGGCTGCCTGAGGTTTCCCAGGAATTCCCACCACGTGTCCTTCCTTCTGGTTCATCTCCAAAGCCCAGGGCTTTTAGAGAGGGACAGGGGCTTTGAGGCTCTGAGTTCTTCAGAGCTGAGCTTCATGCTTCATGGGGGAGGGCACAGCCAAATGGCTGGGTTTGGAGCCCCAACTTTCCCACAGTAGAAATAGTGGGGTGGGGAGTGGCCTTCTGCCCCCACCAAGGTAGGTAGACACTGGATTTGAGTTGATGCTGCTGTTTAGAAGGCAATAATTTAGGCCATCTTAGTCTCAGTTTTTTTTTTGTTTTTTTTTTTTTTTGCCTCTCCAATGCATCTTATTTCAGTTATTCATTGTTGCATAATGACACCAAGGTCACTACTTCCCATGATCCTTGAGGTTAGGAATTTGTCGGAACTTATCTGCTCCCAATGGAAGAACTATTGGCTGTGGTCATTCACTCGTGGCTGGACTGGGCTAGGCTGGACAGCCCAAGAAGCTTTACTCCTATGTCTAGTGCTTCAGAGCTTCCCGAGTGACCGTCTCTTCATGCGGCCAATGTGGGCTTCTTCACAGCATGGAGGCCTCAGGGAAATCAAACATCTTACATAAGGTTGGCTTTCAAAATAGAACATGCCAGACATGAAAGCAAAAACCGTAAGAGTCCCTTTAGGTACAGACTTGGAGTTACACAACACTGCTGTCATTTCACTTGGTCAACACAAGTCATAGAACCAGCCAAAATTCAAGGGGAGGAGAAACAGACCACCTCCCATTGGGAGGAATGGCAAAGAATTCGCAGCCATTGTAATCCATCCATGTCCTGCAGAATTGTGGGAGGAGTTTTTTCCAAATATGAAAAGCATACAGCACAGTATTTGACACATAATAATTTATGTCAAATTTATGTTTAATGAATGATAGTTACTGTGAGGATGAGGATAGAACTGATGCTTTGCAAGTACTGAGAAGGCCTTTCAAACTAGCCTAGGCCAAGGGGAATTCATGAATGGTTTATCTAGGGGAAAGTAAATTTAGCCATGGCTGAATCCTGGGGTTCAAAGGAAGTCACGATATCATAACTCCCACCCAGCTATCGCTGTTTTTCTCATCTCTGTCTCATATCCCCCATCCCCACACCTGTTCTTGCTTATGTCTGCCTCTTTTTTACATATTGGCTTCATTCTCTCCTGCTGGCAACCCGTGCCTACACTCTTAGAGCTGATGATTCAAAAAATAAAGACCTCAGCAGAATTCCCAAGAAAGACCTTTATTGGGCCACTCACCTGTCCCAGAACCAGTAACAGTGTCAGAGAGATTTACCATGACTGGAGGATGGGGCGTGGGAAGGTCAGTCCTCTATAAGAACACAGGAGATGGGGCACAGGGAGAATAGCGTTCTTCAAATGAAGCAGAAAGAAGGGGAACTCCCCTTGGGTGTTCTGCAGCATCTGTGTCCCTGCCATAAAGCCTCTACATCCACCTCCACGGCCCCTCCTGGCTAAGCCCCCAGGGATCACAGGGACTCCCAGAATGAGGCATGCATGGAGAGAAGTGTCAGGCTGCAGATGGGAGGAAGAGGAAGGTAGGTTTCCCTTCCTGCTTCTTCCTGGGTCCCTGAGGTTGGATAAACCTGGGCTTAAGCCTGAAGCCTGGGCTCCAGGAGTATGTCATGGAGAATTTGGATGAAGAGCCTCTCAAAACAAGGGATGTTAGATAAGTTATCAAGGGAGGAGAGAATCAAACTGTAACCATGAGCCATATGGAGGAAAACTGAAGCCCTGAAAGGGCAGAGCTCTGCTTTGGGTACAACACAATTGGTTTCTTTTACTTTCATGCACTTCTCCCAGAGACCACCAGAGGGTGCACAGAGCCCAATTTCCTAGTCACAGGAATGACAGGCAGTGCAGGACATCTGGGAGACAGAGTGGTGGGCAGCAGAGGGAAACACAAAAGGAAGCAAGGAGACTCATGGACATCTTGGACCAAGCTGCTAGGGTTCCACTACCTGGGACCTCTTGGCTGGTTCAGACCCAGGGCTGGATGCCCGCCTCCCAGTCTCTACGGCCAGGTCCTGGAGGATGGTATGGGGTGGGTGAAACCCTACGTGATACCAGAAAGGGGAAATGAGGCATGGCATGAGCTGAGAGCATCCGAGATTAAAAGGAACTCAGAGGAAGTAGTGTAACATTGTGGGAAAAAATGGCCAAGTTTGCTAGCGCAACCATGGTGAAGCCTCTCTGAACCTCAGGTTCTCCATCATGAGGTGGGGTGTCTGATAGCCCCTCTTTTCAGAGCATTATAAGTGTGCATTGCAATCAATCTATGGGTCATGTGTTAGTGGTCTGTCTTACAGCATGAAGCCAGGAGGAGTCTGGGAACTGCCTGCTGTGAGGGGGAGGGTGCAGGAGGCCCCGTTTTTGACCACTGCCTGACCCTCCCAAGCTCAGCGATGGCTCTGTGCTCCTGCACTGCTGCCTGGGCGGGGGACTGGAGGCAGGGCTCAGAAATGCCCCTTCACCCCCTCTCCCCACCCTTGCTCATCCAGCTGCTCAGCCCAAAGGCACGGTCTGGGGGGACATGTGGAGCTGGGGAGATGGGGGAAGGGTACAGAGGCACCCCAGATGTGTGTGACCACATCAGGAACAGCTGGGAACACTGCCAGATGGGCGAGCAGGCCAGCTGGAAGGCCCTGGATCAGCCTGAGGCCAAGGGCTTGGGAGACATTGCCCCTTCCCTTGATTATCTAAACATATTAGGAGTTTGGAAGCTTGAAGCACTGGGCTATTCCCTTACATTGCTGAGGGACAGTGGTCCTGAGGCCTGGACGGTAACACTGAGAGTCCCTTTATCGACCAGGACCTCTTTGCTCTTCTTCACCAAGACAGACTTCTCCAGCAGAGCATCAGGACTGAGACAGGCCTCTGCCTGACAGTCCCACCTGTTCTGTCCCTGGCCCTTCCCTGCCTGCACCTCCAGAGTGCACAGCTGGAACCATTCTCCAACTGCCTTTCATTGGAGGTGCCCCCTCTACCCCTGGCTCCTGTAATTGTGGTCTTAGACAGGGGCTGGGCTGAGGCTGCTGATAGGGGTTGCCCTCTGTTACAAGTCTATATATTTCATGAACAGTGGCAAGTGGGAGAGAAGAGCCCCTACCTGGTCAGAGAGGACACAAATTCAGCCACTAACTCAAGTCTGCAGCATTTTCCAAGTGGGGTCCTCATGAAGGTCATTTGAGGTACTGGTTATAAAAGCAGACACCACCCCCCACCCAGGCCTGGCCCCTGAAAGGGGCTGCATGGGACCCAGAATCAGTAATTCCCACAATGCCCTGCCTCACTGCCTCAGGGGATGCTTCTGAAGGGGGAGGGTGTTGGGGGATACTAGAGAGAGCACTAGGCATGGAGGAGGTGGGGTGGGGTAACAGGTGGGCTGCCTGGATTAGAAACCCAGCCCCTGCATCATTTTGGGCCTGTTCCTAATCCTTTCTGGGCCTCAGTTTCCCCAACAGTCAATGAGAACTTGACACTCTCCAGTCTGGCTTGTCCCAGCTGGTGCCCTCTTCCACCCTGGCTCACACCTCCTTCCTGTGTTGAGTCTGGCCCCAAATTCTAGTCCTAATCAGCAACAGTACAGGAGGGAGCGGGTGATGGGGAGTACTGGGAGAGGCAGGGGGCTGTGGGGGTCAAACAAGGCTCTGACTGACGTAGACTGCTTCCTGCCTCTGGCTGTTTTCCTGCCATCCAGCCAGACAGCTCCCCTTATGGCCCCACCCCCACCCCCAGCAGCCTCAAGCCCTTAATTCCTGACAGCTGCAGTGGTGGCTGCAGGCAGAGCTGGGGGAGGAGGGGGGAGTGTGCCATCAGCCTGCTGTTGCTCAGGCGGTCCCCACCACCTGACAGTCTGGGGGCAAGGAAGGCCCCCCTCCCCCAGGGATGGGCAATTCCAGGAATGGGCCCCTTTTGTCTTGGGGCCCAGAGCTCCAGTAGTTCTGTTCTTGAATTAGGCCCCAGCTCTCTCCAGAGAGGGGCCAGTGAAGTTGGAGGGAGATGTGTGTGCACAGAATGGCAGGCTTTGCCCATCTGGGGGGGTATGTTAAAGTCACAAAGGGTATAGGATTCACTGCCAGCGTCCAGCTTCCCAAACTGAGGTAAGCCTGGTATCCAGGTGGTGCGGGAGCACAGGAAGTGATCCCAGGGAGGTCTAGACATGTACTAGGAAGATGATGTTGGGAAGCTCCAGGAGGCTCAAATACAGGTGGACGGTCAGGGCTCGAGCAAGCAGTACTCACTCAGATGGGGCTGCTGCTGCTGTGCTAAGTCAAGAGAGCTGGAATATCTTCCAGTTCTTCCTTGCTGTGTGACGTTGAGTAAGTCATAACCCTCTCTGAGCCTCAGCATTTTCTTGTGAAATAAACGGGGACAAAATAGGATGAACTCAAAGCACACTTTTAAGATGAAAAGTTCTCCAATATTTCCCTCCATCCCAGACAGTTACTGGCGTTCCTAAGTTTTGCCTTCACTGGTTCACTGGCCAGACAAGGTGGACCTTATTAATCTTATTTCCGAAAAGGGCAGAGGTGGCCAAGTGAGCTGCAGGCACCTGTTTAAGGTGACACGGGGGAGAGCAAGCTCCAGGGGCTGCCAGTCCACTGTGAGACCCCCCACCTGCACCAGCCAAACCAGGAGAGACCTTCCTGCCGTGGGGGTGGGGGTAGTGGAGGGGTCAGCTCCTCCCCTACACCCTCTGGTGTCTGTACTGGGGGCACCGTCCTGGCTGCAGCGAGCGACTCAACCAGGCTCACCTCGAAGTCATACACACCTTCTCCCCCCCACACACACCTTCTCCCCACCACCACACACACACCTCAGCGCTCCCCTAGCAGCCACCTCCCTTCGCTGGTGCAGCACGACACTACAACACCTCTCCTCCCCTGCCCCTCCAAAAGGCCGGCTCGCACCGAGTCCGGAACGGGCACAGCGGCCTCTGGACGTGTAAACGCCTCCACCGCACCACCACCCCCTCCCCGCGTCGTGACGTCACGTGGGGTAGAGCCCTGAGACATTCTAGGGGGTGGGGGGGAGGAAAGGGAGGCGGCGGAGCTGCCGGAGCTGGGACAGTCACTCACTCTCTGGGCGGTGGGGCCGGGCACAGACAGCGCCGCCCCCCTCCCCCTCCCCGCCCGCCTCGCACGCCCTCCCTCGGAAGCGCAGGCTCGCGGCGCTGCTCTGGGGGGCTCCCCAGCACCCCAGCCTCGCATCCTCAGCCCGCCGCGCCTCCAGGCCCCCCTTACCCTCAAGAGGCACCGGGAGTTGTCACAGGGGGGCCTCGGGAAATTCCCTGGACCCCTGTGCCAGGAGGTGCCCGGTGCGCGCCCGCCCGCTTCCCCCCCCCCCGAGGGCGGTGCCCGGGGGCGCTGCCCCATGGAGCCGGGAGGCGGGCGCCGTCTGCTTGCGGAGCTGTGACCCGAGTCGGAGTGGTTTGTCGCAGCTGCCCCGACCCCCGCGGATCATGCGCCGCCGCCCCTGGCTCGCCGGTCCCGCCGGGCTGTGAGCCCCCCATTCCCCGGCTGGTCACAGCCCTTGCGCCATGGGCAGCACCCACCCTTGCCCCTGGCTGCGGCTCCGACTTTGGCCCCAGCCGCGGCCCGCGCTCTGTGCTCTCCTGCTCTTCCTACTGCTGCTGGCTGCCGCCTTGCCCAGGTGAGCCCTCACCTTATGCTCCGCCCTCCTGGAGAGCTGGGACCCCCAGATATTGGGGCCTCTGGCGCTCCCGCTGGGACGAGAGGCCCTGTAAGGAAGGGGGGTAGTGCGCAGGAAAGTGCTGGTGCCCAATGAAAGACAGTGCCCTCGCAGCAAGGGGTTGAACTGGTGACAGCATAGGGGCAGTCCAGGGAGACAGGGCAGTGCCCAGGAGAGTGAAGGCTACTAATAGGGGAGGTGCATGGTGGTGGTGGTGGGGGAGAAGCAAGTGCCAACCTGAGTTCCTTCCATACTGGGGGAATATACCCCCACCCCAGGAATAAGCCCAAATTGCCTTGCTGCACCTTGGCGATCACCCCCAGCCTGGGGCAAAGGTTGGGGACTGGAAGTGAGTATTCCAGGTGGGGGGTCAATGAGAGATTGCAGCTGGAAGGGTGTGTGTGTGCGCGCATGTGTGTGCCCAATCATATGTGTGAAAGAGTGAACCCAGCAGGCTGTGTTGTAAACAGCAACCTATGCGTGCACACGGGTGACTATGGGAACTGATGGGTCAGTGTGTGTTAAGACGAGCACATGTGTGTACTTCTGAGTGTCTGTGTTCAAGCATGTAAGTATGTCATGTGCATGTAGGTATGGAGTATACATGTGTGCAGTGTGCCTCTGTGTGTGTGTCCACCACAATGAGCAGACAAGTGCGACTGTCTGAAGCATGCATTTAAATGGTGGTGGGCTCTGGGGAATGCTGAGTGTGGGAATCTATGCCTGGGGGTGGACTTATGAAATCCTGTGAGCGCAGGTATACCGGATATGTGTGCATTTGCACACGTTTACTTGTGTGGGTGTGCAGCTGGTGGGTTGTACTGGAGGGTCAAAGGGAAAAGAATGCCTCATGGGTAGAGAGATGGGTGGAAGCTTCAAAAGCAGAGGTTAGAACTGAGTGGGATTGCGTCCTTTGGGACAGAGTACCTGTTGTGAGCTGGGGTCTTCCTAGCCCCTCAAACACTCACTTGTCCCCATCCCACCCTCCTGCAGGTCAGCACCCAATGACATTCTAGGCTTCCGCCTCCCTCCAGAGCCTGTGCTCAACGCCAACACGGTGTGTCTGACATTGCCCGGCCTGAGCAGACGGCAGATGGAGGTGTGCGTCCGTCACCCTGACGTGGCTGCCTCAGCCATCCAGGGCATCCAGATTGCCATCCACGAGTGCCAGCACCAGTTCCGGGACCAGCGCTGGAATTGCTCTAGTCTGGAGACTAGAAACAAGATCCCCTACGAGAGCCCCATCTTCAGCAGAGGTAGCTGCCCCTCAACCGTTCCCTCTGTCCACCCCTTCCAGCACTTCTCTTGAATCTCTCTGCCACTCATGCCCAACCCGTTCCCTCAAGCTGGCGACCTCCCCAGGTACCCATCTGCCAGCCACCGCTGCTCTCTGCCTCATTATGGTTTGAGGAAGTTGGGGGGAGGGGCAGGCAGAGAAATGGGCTAGGTGGCTCAGGATGGAGTGAGGGCTGAGGGTGGTGGGTTCCATGTCTGAGAAGTGAGTTCCTGGGTGACCTGCCCTGCCATGGACAGTTTCTCCCCCAGTCTGCGCTGTGTCTATTTCCGCTCCACCTAGTAAGTAGCACTTAGGGTGGAGAGCCTGTAATAAACCCAGCATCAGCATGCAGGGGGCCTGAGCAGGTAAACCATCCCTACTCCCACAGAGGCTCTTCCTGATGGGGTACACCACCAGCCTGTGTGTCATCCTTGCCGCCCCCAAAACCCTCTCTGAATCAGAGGCACTGGGTGTGTTCCTGCCTCCTGCCCAGCGGGGCCGCCAGCCCTGCCAATCCCTCTTCCCCTCACAGCGCAGAGAAGCCACAGCCCACGCCTGCCTTGCTGTGCCTCCCTGACTCTGGGTGACCCAGGGTCCACCCCAGCAATTCCTAGAGTGGCTGGGGCTGGAGGTGGCAGGAGGTTTTATCAATCAGTTCTGATCACACCCACCTCCTACCCTGGGTTCTTAGGCCTTGATTGACACAGGTCTTTGGGGATAGAAGGGGGTCTTGCCTCTTGGATGGCACTACTCCTTCTAGAGATGGCTGTCTCTCAGTGCTTAAGCAGGATTTTGTGGGGACCCTCTTGTGGGGCAGTATGGAAACTCGGCTCCTTGGAACTTGCCCTATTCTCAGCTGACAGTGGAGGAGGAGGGGACCCCTATTCCCTGTGGCTGG